ATGGGTCCTAAACAATGTAAACTGTTGCTTTAGGGCTGGGCTTAGAGAGGTAGAGAATTTCACGCAGCACTCTGCACGCAAGCAGAGTTACTAGTATCCTGCAATGTTGTTCCAAATCAAGTTTATTCAGAGGTACAGTACAAGATCTCTCTGCGATGATTGTGACTTATAGCAACCCTTTCTGGGGCTTTCTAGATGGAAAGGACTCAGAGATGGTTTACTTTTCCTTTCTTATGGAGGTTCCCCGGCATTGTGCCTTATATCGCTGTCTGTTTGCTGCAGCAGAGGTGGTGAATTTGGGGTGGTCTTGAAAAAAGGGGGGGTTTGCTCCGATGTCGCCTATGCAGGAGAGATTATTGGCGGGATTTTCCACATGTCCACTAGTGCAGGCAGGCAGTGCTTGCTGAAATCCTGCCTCAGAATTTGAACTGTCTTGTGCTGATTGTAGGCAACCCTTTCTGAACTCGAAAGGGGCACAATCAAAGTGAGCAGGTGTGTTTTTTTGTTTTGGCAGAAGACTTGCACACCCATTTCAGAGGATGGAGGAAAGAGCAGAAAAGAAAAGTGGCAGATATTTTGAACCCTTTCTTTCATTCTATTTATTTGTCCAGTTGCAGCTGCCTGATGTTAAGGTGAATTGAGATAAAGTGAGAGGAAGAGAAGGAGAGGAAGAAGGAGAGGAGGATGAGGATGAGGATGGGGGTAGCTATTAGCCTTCATAGAATCATAGAATTGAATAATTGAGTTGTAAGGGGGCCTCGAAGGCCATCAAGCCCAACCTCCTGCTCAAGGCAGGAATACAAATCAAAGCAGATCAGTCAGAGAGTGGTCCCATTTTCTCTTGAAGGTCTCCAGCATTGGAGCATTCGGTTCTCGTACTGCTCTGTTAGGAAGTTTTCCTGATATTGAGCCAAAATCTGGATTCCTGTCACTTGAGCCCAATACTATATTTCCTGCCTTCTGGGATGATGGAGTACAGATTGAGAAGAGATTCCTGCCCCTCCCTCCGTGCACGCTCCCTGCCTGTCTCAAGGACGCCTCCATAAATCTCCCTTGGTGTCTCCTGACATGGTGACTCCAGGAGCCCCATGTTCCTTCACAGAACCAAGGACAGCTGTGTCAACTCCAAAGACATCTTTGATGGTTGGCTACGTGTGTCTCAGCACAATCAGTAAGAAGCAACACACAGTGTGGGGGGGGGGAAGAGAGAGTCTAGCACGGAGGGGAAGAGTGTGTCACCCAATTAATTCATCCAGACAAGACTTGCTGGCAGTCGGTGTTGCTTTGGGGTTGTGTGAAGTGATCCTTCTTAAAAGCGACGCTCCTTTTGTGCTGAGCGAATCTGCAGGACGCTTCCCCACACGTCTTCGCTGAGAAGACAACGTCTTTAGAACAGCGTCCAAATTAAATTCAGGCATCACTTGCTAAAACCAGGACTTGTTAACTCTGAAATAGAGCTTTCTTGGCCCCAGAATTTGACATGTCTGGAGCAACAACAAAGCAGGTGCAAGGGAGCATGTGCAGAGAGCCTTTTCCCTTAACCTTAATTCATGAAAAAAAGAGGCATCCATGACACAAGGGTACAGTTTCCATATGGTCTGGAGCTCTAGAGATTGTTTCAGAAGGTTCAGAGATTGATTCCCCCAGTCAGAACCTTAGGGGGGTGTGCACCAATGACCTTTGTGTGTTACACACACATGAACACACACACCAAAAAAGAGACAGCATCTTATAAAATTAGATGATGCCCATTCCCTATTTTGTCTGACTACTTGCAAACATTTCCCACCCCCGATTGTTTCCATGAGGACTAGCAACATGCCTGACACCACAAAGGACTGAGGTTTCCAGAAGACAAAATTTTCCTGCCAAGATTCCACTTGCTATGAAGACAATCTGACTTGATATCAAATCTCATTGAGTAAAATTTAGCATCAGTTTCCAATTGTCCTTCTAATCAACATGAGTCCCACCTGAACATCAACCCTTGCAAGGGCCTTCTTTGATGAGCATCCTTTGAGCCTAAAACCCCGGGGGGGGGCCATCTCGCAGCTGGGCTTGAAATATCCATGTGGGTGACGAGGTCTCCCTAGGGAGTGGCTGGTGCTTCTTGGCCAACGCAGCTGCCATCGACCCCATCAGGGACTGGGGGAAATGTGCGTGGGTGGGTGGGTGGCTGGGTTGGTGGGTGCTTGCTCTTCACAACACCATTCTGACCATGGAAAGGGGAAGTGCAGCTGGCCAGATGCAAGGAATGGGGGGATCCATTCGAATCCTGGAGAGCTTTTGTTCAAAGTACCATCTTAGACCACCTCTTGACACTGAGAAAGCTGCCTTAAGAGTAGCCACACGGACCTCTATGCCTTGCAAGACCTTGACGGCTCCACCCTACCATCCTTCTGATTTGGGTCCATCGGCCCTGAATGCCAGCCATCCTCCTGTCGTGGATGGTGTGACTTGCCTCCGGCCCTTCGCATCATCCGCTGATGCATCTCGGTTGGACTTGCATCGGCATCTTATCGGATCGTGACCACACCACCTGCTCAGAGAGCATTTCCTTGCCCCCCCCAAAGGGATCCTTTCCGCCAAACAGTCAAGCTCTCTAGAACAACACTGCCAGCCGTCAGAGAGTGCCCGGTGCTTGCTACGTGTGAGAGAGGGCCCTGGGGAAATATCCTTATTGATCACACAACTCTAGGAAGTTTATTTTATTCTGAATAAGAGAGAGAGAGGGAGGGAGGGAGGAGAAACATCCTGAGGAATATTTCGGTTTGGATAACGTTCCCCAGGAGCCAGAGTTGGCTGCCGGGCCATCAGCTAAAGATGACTGCGCTACAGCTTTTGCGCCCCCGCCCCCCGTTGCCACTTGAGGATTGCCATGAGTTTACATGATCCAAAGCTGCTGTGCTTGTGCAGGTGTGTCTTCATAAGACAACCCTTTTGCAAGCTGGATTATGGAGGCTAGTTTTTAACGTTCTGGCCCCAGGGGCCACCTCAGACACAACAACCAGGTATCTCTCTCCCCCCCCCCTCCGGCCCACCCAGCAGGGGGACCTTCTCTGAATTCCCCACCACCACCACTTGGGAGGCTGGGTTTAAGACCGGTCTTGGTGACTCCTGGCTCTGGCACCCTCCTCCTGGCCGGAAAGGCATCGCGAGTGCAGCAGCAGCAGCTGAGGCCTTGTGATTGCTCCCAAGAGGAGACCGTTTTACACGCTCAGGCTTTGGGAAAACACGCGGCGGCCGCCGTGGCAGAGGCTGTACCTTCTGTTTTATAGCCTTTCGTGGGGCTCAAAGGGATCCGTGCCTTTCCCTTCCCAACGCCTTGTGGGCTGCTCTAAGTTTTGTTCTTGTCATCTGTTCTGTTTGGGCTTGTTTTTTTCCCCTTTGTTTTTGTTTCATTTCGGAAACAGCCATCGTGGGGGCCAAACGCTTCCAGTTTGGCAAAGCCCCGTTTACTCCTTTTGGGAGCAGCCGCCGCCTTTCCCTCCTTGTGGCCAAAAGCCCTTTGGTTCAGGCTGTGCACCTCTGCCCTTCCCTCGGGGTCAGCAGCAGACCTGACCTTGTGGGTCCAATCGACAAGGAAACAACAGCTGCCGTAACTATTTATTTCCTTGTTTGTCACATTTATATCCCACCTGGCCTTCCTCAGAATTCAAGGAACTGTCCCCTGTCCATCCGTCCATCCATCAACAGCTCCTTCCTTCCTTCCTTCCTTCCTTCCTTCCTTCCTTCCTTCCTTCCTTCCTTCCT